TCTCCATGCATGCATCCATAATCTAATTAGTATAATTAGTTAATTAATTTCAAGTGAAAATATGACACGTGCATTGTAGAGATGTTGGACTCCGATCCGACTCGAGTCTCGAGTCGTAAATAATGATTAAAAATAATATTCAACAAAGACGATCACTAAAGGAAAAGAAAAAATATGAAGATAAATGTGACCATGTCTTTGAAATAAAAAAATATATAATATTTTTTTAAAAAAAAAAATAGACATTCGAAATTGAAAATTAATGTAAATTTCAGCATGGGAGGAGCCTCATTAAAACCTGGGTGTCATCCTGCCATAAAAATCTAGCAGTTCATCAAATCGAAAGAATTATCGACGTCATCATCATTCACACGTTCCTGCATGCCGACACCCACGAAAAAAATAACAAAATATTATAAAAACATGCTCAATCTATTACACTAATCATCATGGAAAACGGGGTCAGAGAGACAAGAGAACATGTGGATTGAAATCATTGATAGCGAGAGAGAGAGAGAGAGAGAGAGAGTTACCGCCTGTGTTTAAATTAGGATGACGAATCACATTTTGCTGCTTACCCGATGGAGATGCCCATTGGTTGCAGCTACACATAACTGCCTTGCGGTGTGTACTGGCAAACAGTATGTGCTGCCTTTTGGTTGTGTTGTGACGTCCCATCACTCGTTCTCGGGGCACATGACGATGTGATCCACCGCGACAGGCAGCGAGGAGACGCTCCCAGATGCCAACAACCTCGTGTCATCTTCATCACATGGATGGGAGGGAATGAGCCAGCTGCACTCTAAAATTTGTCATCTGCATGTGGCCCTCGTAAATCGAGGTGTCCAATCCCTTCTATCTTTGCATGGAAGAGGATCCCAGCTGATGACATGATTGTTTTGGACGAGGCAAATCTGATATGCAACCATCACTCTTGGCTTCATCGATGTCAAAGGACGCAGGAGGGATCATTTCATCACGGCGACGAGGGATCATTTCATGTGGCACAAGCGACGAGTATCTATCTGAATTGGGATTCTTCGGAGCTGAGCCTTGATCACTATGCGCTACGGTGCTGCTTGTCACGAGTGGGCTCCAACTGAGGATTCATAGCTTCACGGCTCTTGCGATGCAGTGTATGCCTTGCCTGCACAGGGTGAAGAGGATAATAGTTAGTCGGCAATTTAATAGTAAAGCGACTCAGGATCATCAATTGTCCAGTTCATTCATCAAAGATAATTTTGTACCAGTAGACATATAATATTATTATGCAAATTCATGAAGCATAAGTGGTTTTGCATCACGTGAAGAAATTTCAATGATAATTTAAAACTTTAAAAGGAAACCCTAATCCATAGTCTTGGCAAACAAAACACCAAGTACAGACTGATTTTGGCATCTATCCATGTGACGCTTCAATTTAGTCGCACATTGAATATGTGAGGATGAATATGATTGTACATATGACTAGATGTATATATTACTAGTAACTCAGGTTTAAAACATTCTGGGCCATCTGTTTTTATACCTATCAAGGGTCAGATGCTGGTTAATCATTCTTATCTCTTCTAGTTCAAAATTGATAAGAGGAAACCATTTGTTACTCGATAGTCCACACCATTGTTATCGAGAAAACAACTCCACATTGCTTCTGTCTGCAAAACATCATTATTAATTACACGATGTAAAAGTTGGGAAACAGCAGAACTAATTGACGAGTTCAGGAGATATGGATGAAAGAAAGCAGGCAGAAAGATGGCATGTATTGTTTGCAGGCTTAAACGGAAATTGAATTTGTTTATAAAGCAAGAACATTGTTGTTTCAGTCAAAAAACACATGTTTACCAGAGATTTTAATCTTTTAAAACTGTTTACAGATTTAATTAGAAAAAAAAACACTACTTTCAGTTATAATTACATATATTCAAGCCTACAAATTAGAATACTGAGATAGCAACCTACTTTGGAAGTGAGAGCCACAAGGTTGCCCCCCATGAGCAATGATTTAGACATCTGTATTTGTCTTTGTTCTAGTTCCCATATAAGTTGCAACAACTTCTGATACAACCAAAGGGGTCAGATCACTGATATCTGAGCATTAGATCAAGGAAAACAAACAAACTACGGAGTTGTTGGGAGCAGCATGCCCTGTTGAACTTCACATTTTCAAAATGTTTCTTGTCCTACAATGACTAGAACTTCAGACATGCATGGAAAATTTCACCAACTTCTTGCAAAGCTGATCCTATCTAGTTAGTTCACAACATACCTAAATAAAAACAAATGTGTTTTAAGTATTTTTATTAAGATAGTTCCAACTGTATACAAAAAACATATTTAATACAATGCAGTTACGGCTGCTAGTTCTGCAGTAGTTTTTCCTTCTTAAATCATCCGAGCATTCTGATCTCTCTCTCCCCTGTTGTGTAGATTGAACATGTTATGCAAACTCTTTTCTTGTTTTACCTCTCTTAAGTCCAATATTTTCCTTTTTACAGGCCCTTGAATGAGGTTTGTTGCTTGTAGAAATCTAGAACCAGAGCAAAGGGAACTACATAAGTTCTCCATAGCAACCCTTCAATTCACAATTGCTGCATCACTTTCTCATGCTGCCAACTTTCGAAAACAAACCTTTCTCCATGAACATATATTGATTTTCCTAATTTACTCCTTCCATATAAAAGTATCACATAACCGTATACATTATATTCTTACAACAAGGCTCCAATACGACCATTTAATTGGTCATACAATATGCTAACCACTGGACTCTACACATATGTTACTTTCAGGTATTCTGCACCTAATCTTGACCTCTCAACGGACCTGGCTGCTATATTTTAATCTCCATTGACTGCATAATATTGATCAGTTCTTGTATACTACTACAACTTAGTTTCTTCAATTTCAGGTCTTAACCTTAGAATTTCTTTTAGCAAGCTGCTTCATAATTTTTGAACTTTATCATGCTCATTTCAGGAGCTCACACTGCATCCTCACCCTGACATCAGAAGTTTCTTGCAAAAGGTCCAGCTAGAAAACCATATTAACAGATTGTTTCTTCACTTTAGCTAGAGGTACTTATCTTGAACATAGTTTTAGCAAACCAGTTTCCATATCCATACCACTAATCTAATGAGCCAAGACACATAGCACAACGAACATTTGATCACAAAAACTTGGCAAAATTCACCTTACACTTGAAAGGTTCATGTAAAATGAGCAGCTTAGAAAAACATAACAGATTGCAAATCCCAACATTGATCTGTACCAAAAATTCATTTCCATTAAAAAGGAGTAACAATGTTAGGAGAAAAGATAATGTCCAGACACAAAAATTTAAAATATCAAGGTTTAAATTCTCTTTCATGATAGAAACTTAGTGTTGATCGTGATTGATTCTTGAAAAGCAGGCACAATGAACTCCTGACAGTTAAATTAAGTACTTCAAGGGCATATCCAAACTGTGTAAAATTAAATGCTTACAATTAGGAATGTCACAGGTCATGATGAGTTGGGTATAACAGAAGGCAAAGTCTCTTGAGGTTGTTCATCCATGATGTGCGTAACAGAAACTACAGGAAAATATACATGATATTAATTCAAAAAACAATTTCCTTGAATTCCTCATCTTTAGTAGCATGAAAAAGGAAAAAAGGCCACCATTCCTATGTAATGGAAATGAGTTACTTTGTTTATGAGATTAAAATTCTTCCTTGCTAGCCCAGTACAAGCAAAAAGGGGGGGGGGGGGGGGGGGAATCATAGAATGAAACAGTAAAAATATATCCTTTCATCGAATTGATTAAATCTTCTTGAAAATTTGCTTTGTCACTAGTCTTGTTCTTCTGCCAAATAAAACAAAGCTTACCATAGCTTGTTCTCCTAAGCCAATTATCTCTACTTTCTTGCATCATGTTCTTGTCCCATTTACTACGGCTTCTAAAGATATGGTGCAAGCACAAAGCTGCATCATTTTTCACCTTTGAAGCCACAAATTGATCAACTAGGGTTTTCATCTGCAAGACTGCAATTTTTGTGATAAATATTACATGAGGCATCATAGAAGTTGACAACACAATCAAGTACCCAACATTATTAGGCAAGCATTACCACGAGGTCTTCCAAAAGGCTGGCCATCTATATGAAAGCCATGAGGTAAGCATTTAGTGGCAACGATTCTCGCAACATCAATGAGCTACATAATCTCAATGATTAATATCGGTCTCATTAGACTAATGTTGGCCAAATTCAACATTTAAGCTATCTCTCTAATGCATCGGGGAAGGGCATCCATCATCGCTGGTGCATTGGGTTTCCTGACCTTTATATGTATAAACGAGGTATATAAAATGATCTTTGCAATTGTTCCCTTTGCAAACGCATTTACTCTCCCCAGCTCCTATGTGCTAAGCGTTTACTACTTTCTTTCTCGATCTTATCTAAATCAGAAAAATCTCAGGGAGTCAATTTCTGGTGCCTCTTCTATCACTTGCAGATTAGATTATCAAGCCTCAAGATGTAATCCAAGCAGGTATACACCAGTTGGAACTAGTCCCTACACACGCGGCCAAAATTGCCTGGCTTCCAGACAAATAAAAAGAGCATCCTCAACTTCAATAGCTTCGTGATCAAACTAGAATCTCATGCGCAGAGAGAGTGTAATCGCCAAATATGAAGTCTCACCATATTCCCCCTTCATCTTTGAACTATTTTCGTTGAATCTATGTATAATATCTTCTGATCAGCCTGCTCGGTAAAAGAGTCGAGCATTCTAAAATCCCTGTCTAGCTCTGCAAATCGGCTAGACAAAACCTAGAACCCGTTTTGTAGTCTTAAAACAAGTCGGTTGCAAAGGCAGTGGGGTATCGGGGGCGGACCTGAAGAAGCTGAGACAGGTTAGCAGCCG